TACCTTGTTCAAAAGCCCCCATGGTCCCCCACCGTCCCCAGGAGAAAGTCCAGCTCCCTAAGCTGGTGTTCAAAGTCTCACCTTGTCTCATGTCACCCCATTGCTTGCAACTCTGTCAGGAGCTGGGCCTTTGCACAAGCCTCTCCCTCTGTCTGGAGCACATATTCCCTTTGTACCAGCAAACTTCCCCACCTCCTCCAGGAAGTCTTCCCTGATGCCACCTGGCTGGCTTAGGTGCCTCTCTTTGGGTTTCCCACTTTCCATTATAAGGTTCATTTCTCTGAGCCAGGACCATCTATGTCTGGGTCTGCCTCTTCTGCAGCCAGGGAGGCCCACAGGGCAGGGCCTGGGCCTAAGTCATCTTGGGGTCCCTCCCTGACCTTGCCCAGCACAGGGCCTAGCTCTGAGCAAGGGCTCAGGAAATGCTGGATGAAGGAATGAAGAAATGCACGAAAGAAAGAATACTAAAGCTGGCAGCTCTCCCTCAGGCTCTGACCAGAGCCCCTGAGACTAGCCGACGGACCCCACACCGTGGCCTGGGGAACGAAGAGGAACGATTCAGCCAGACCAGGCTACCAGTCTTCCCAGAAGCTTGCCAGCCTCAACCAAAATATAAGCTCGGCTCCCAGAATCACAAGTACATCTTTGTCAAGGCCATGCCGGAGACCAGTCACCATCTGCTTTCCCCAAGTTCCTCCCTAAATTCAAGATCTCCCACTTCCACCCATCGTGGGCCCAACCGTCATGCCGTCCTGGACAGAAATCCAACCCCCAAACCCCCTGCTTTCTGGACAGAAATCCAACCCCCAAACCCCCTGCTTTTCAAAAGCAGAATGCCTCTATTGATAATGATGTTATGAGGAGTGGCTATAACAAAGGGTGAATTTTGTACCAAAGGAAGTAGGTCAGCTGCTTTTTTTTTTTTTTTTTTTTTTTTTTTTAAAGATGGGGGAACATGTTGGTTCTCAAAGGTGATAAGCACTGGGAAGCAGAGGAGATCTAGGGGGATCAGGAAGTCGCCTGGACTCCTCCATGCTCCAACATCCAGCCAGTTGGTCCTCAAGTCTCCCTGGTGAAACTTCCCAAACATGCCTCAGTGCTCACTGCCGCTCTCCACCTCCTCCGTTCCTGCCCCAGTTCAGAACTCATCCTCTCCGGAAAGACTAGCACATCAAGTCTCCAGCCCACCCTGCACCTGGCCAGTGGCTCAAACTCCTACTCAGAATCCTTCTGTGGCTCCCCATCAGTGCTCAGCATGACTTTGAAGGCCATTCTTCCCATGCTTGTGGCGCCCTCGTTTCTCAGCCAAGTCCAGCCAGACCAGGCAAACCTACTCAGGGCTCCTGAGACACATACACCAGCCTCTCTTTTCTGTTCCATTATCTCACCCCGTAAACTCCTATGCATGCTTCAGAACCCTATTTCAGGAGCTCCTCCTCCTCCTCTGTGACCCCCAGGGGGATACTCTCATCCCCCTAGACCATCTCCCCGACCTCTGCACCTCCTCCTGTCTCAGCCCTGGGCATACTGTGGAAAATATGTCTGCATCCAGCCTTACCATTCCCGACCAGGCCAGTGCTCATGAAGGCCAGAGAATGATGTATACTCAGAACATACACGTACTTCCCATTCTGTGCTCACCCACACCCCCAGACAGGAATGGCCCCCAAGTAGGGACAGACACACTCATCCCCAAGAAAAATGCTTCATCCATACCCCAAACAACAGCCACACAGATCTAAAACATAGACCATGTCCTTCCCTGCTCAAAGCCCCCCCCCCCAGCTCCCCAGGGTCCCCACACAAAGACCAAGGTCTGCAGCCTGCAAAGGGAGGCCCCGCATGATCTAGGCCATCACACCTCTGGCCTTTGCCAGAACCTCCTCTGGGGGAACCCCTCCCCCCTTCCTTGGAGGCCAGCTTCCACATCCCCTGCCGAGAGGCCTTCCGGGACTTTTCTGGCCACTGCCTTTGGACTTCTCTTCCACCTCCCTACCGTCCTTGAGGGTACAGCTCAAAACCCCAAGGTCCTCCACCCTCTAGTTCACTCTTCATCTTCTCGTATTCTGTGTGCTAGCATACTGGACTTTCAGTTCCTCAAAAGTATCACACTCTCCTGCTTCCAGGCCTTTACGTGGACTATTCTCCTTGCCTAGAATGCCATTTGGTTCCCTCCTACACATGCCTCTGATCTGAGCTATAGGCCGGGCTAAGTCAGACATCTTCTGGGCTTCCCATTCCCGGGGTGGAGGGGTTGGGGGGAAGGAGGGAGGGTTTGCTTCTCCCACTGAACGAGAAGACCATAAGGGTAGTGATGGGGCCTCTGCATAGGCTGTTCCTTCTGGAACGTTCTTCCTCTTTTTTCCTGGCTGATTCCTGTTGGTCTTTTGGGGCTCAGCTCAGACATCTCCTCCCCCAGGAAGCCCTCTCTGTTCTCCCAGCCCCAAGGCTAGGTACCTCTTCTGGGCTCCCCCAGGCCCCTGGGGTTCCTCTGTCACAGTTCCAACCTCTCTGGACAGTCGCTCTCTGTCTATTTCTGTCTTTGTCTTCCCCACTGGAATCTAAACACCAAGTCATGTCTTAGTCACTGTTAGGTCTCAGTGGCAAGTATAATGTCTGGCACATGAACAACTGCAAAAAAACCGCTTTCGTTGAAGTACTTTAAAAATAACAACAGTATAGGGGCACCTGGGTGCACCAGTTGGTTAAGTGTCCAATTTGGGGATCTCACCCTTTGTGAGTTCGAGCCCTACGTCAGGCTCTGTGCTGACAGCTCAGAGCTTGGAGCCCACTTTGGATTCTGTGTCTCCCTCTCTTTCTGCCCCTCCCTCTCTTTCTGCCCCTCCCCCAATCATGCTCTGTCTCTAAGATAAATAAACATTTAAAACTTAATAAAAAATAACAACAGTATAATCCTAATACCATTTATTGTGTATTTACTATGTGCCAGGCACGTTAAATACTGTTCTCATTTAATTCCAACAACCCTATAAGGTGGGTAATATTATTATCCCCACTTGGGGAGAGGGGAAGCCGAACCTCAGAGGAAAGGAAGCTGCCTGCCCAAATTCACAAAGCCAGTGACAAGTGGACCCAAATCTGAAGCAGGTGGTTGGGCTCAGAGCCTGAGTTGCTAACAATTATTCAGAATATCTCTCATTGATGCTCTTGGCTTATAATTGTCCATCTGGGTCTGGGTGCGACTCCCCCACCAGACTTCAAGGCCTTCCAGGGCAGGGCCCAGGTTGGCTGCGTTTCAGAGCAAAAGGATCTGGACCAGAACCGGAGTCTGGGAATGCGGTGAGTGAATTAATGAGCGTACAAATGAATGAATTAGCGAATGGGTGAGTGCGTGACCCACGCGGCCCCACTCACCCTCGATGAGCCACTCGCAATTGCCATTGACGCTGTAGTTGCCCGCACCATCGGTCACGAAGCCTGGCGCCTCTCGCAGCACTTGCCGCTGTCCCTTGCAGTCCCCTGCCTGGGCCCCAGGGGACAGCGGCCCCAGCAGGGCCAAAGATACAGCCAGCGCCACGGCCAGAGCCGGGCGCAGGGCCATCGCCGCCTCCCGCACTGACTTACAGACGGGGCAGGCCGTAACGATTGAGAGGGCCCTCCACGCGGCGCGACGCCCTGCAAATGTGACCTCTATAGACGCGACATGGCCTTATAGACCGGGGAGGTCCAGGAGTTGCACTCCCCGAGAAGGGAGCCACCGCTGTAGACGGGCTCTGGAAACCGAGTAGAGCCTATAGACCCATGGAAAGGCCTGTAAAAGGGGTCGTTACGGACGGGGCCGCCCCCTGGGGACCGTGGGAGTCGCTTATAGTCACGGGCCCCCATAGGCTAGCTGACCCCATAAACGGTGTCCAGCGGTAACAGACGCGAGCCCCTGCAGGCCGAAACGGACCTTATATACGGGTGGGTCCCCAGGGAGAGAAGGGCTCTACAGCCCGGCGGGGGCCTCCATAAAGGGTGCGGGTCGTGCCGGGCCAGACCCCGAAGGTCCGGGAGAGACCCCTCCAGCCGGGGGCGGGGCGCGAGCGGGTGTCGGGGGCGGAGCCCGTCTTTAGGGGCTCAGGCCTGGACCCCATAGACGCACTCCCTTGCTCACCCACCCGCGCCTCCCTCCGGAGCCGGATGGGCCAGATCAGAGAGACGAGGGGACGCTCGGGCCAGAGCGGCCTGGGAAGACCCGCTGGGAGGGCGAGGGGGCGGGGGCCGAGCGGCCGCTGCGGGAGGAAAGATGGAGAGGAGACGAGAAGTCGCGGAGCCGCAGGTCAGAGCGGCCCTGGGAGGACTGCAGAGCATCCGACCCCACCCCTCCACAAAGGGAGACTTCCGGAAACTTCCCCGCCCATTTGTTCCCAGACGCGTGCGCAGCAGTGACCTCCTTGGCCTGCGAAGAGAGAATGACACATGCGCAGTGCCAAAATCGTAACCCAAACTCGGGGTACAGGTGGTTGAGCAAAGCTTGTGCCACTGGAGGGCGCCTCTAGCTCTGACTGGAGAAGAAAAGGTGAAAATAAAGGAGCGGCGCGATAAGAGGGTTCTGTTAGATGATTCGTATCTTCAGTGCTCCCAGATTCCGGGCCAACGTGAAGGCCCCTCCCCAAATGCCATTTCACAGATGGACACACTGAGGTCCAGACCCTGCACTGGTTCATGCCCAGCCCCGCCTCTGAGCATCAAGATGCAAAGAGGCCGTTTTATAGATAAAAACTCAACGAATCCGCTTTATTTTGGCAAGAGGGGGAAAAAGTCTTTCTGCCGGGGACCTCAGGGAGGGCCCCCGGATGGAGACAGGATGGGCAGAGCACGGGTCTGAGGGCACAGAGATCCAAGGGAAGGTTTCAGAGTCGAGACCAGATTCACAATATCCGTCCCAGTAGCAATGGCTCGGGTCGCGGAGTCCTGGAGAGTCACGGGCAGGGTCCCGGCGATCGTCACTGGTGTTCCGGGGTCCGGCGGGATCAGAGGTCTCGGAGGGGGCCAGGGGGCCGTAGGTCTCGGAACAGCGGGAGCCCAGAATCCGGCGCCGCTCGGGGCAGGGGCTGAGGGAGGGGACGGGGAGAGCGGCTCCCGCGGGACCGTTTGGCACAAGAGTCGGGGGTGGGGGTGGGGGTGAGCGGGACAGTAAGCACCCCTACCTGGGCGCGCGGGGTGGGGAGGGTCGGGAAGGCCTGGGATGGCAGAGCCCTGGGGCCGGGATAGAGCGGGGATCCGGAGCCCGGCCGGGGCCCGGCGTGCGGCTCATGGGGCGGGGGTGGGCAAGGGTGCTCAGACCGGGGGTGCGGTGCCCCCGGCCGTGTGCATGCTGAAGTATTCGGTGAAGCCGGTGTGCGGCGCCGCCGTCTGGGGCACGAGCGGCTGGTAGGGCGGCGTCGGGCCATCCCAGCTCGGGTCGGCCGCCTTGGGGAACCGAGCGGGAAGGGGCGGGGAGGCCGCGCCCGGCTCGGCCGTGGTCACCACACGGCCCCTCGGGGCCACCGCCGCCGCCACCGCCGTCTCCTCCACCTGCTTCCCGGCCTGGGAGGGGGTTCAGGGTCAGAGGCCGTCCGAGACCCACGGGGGGCAGATGCGGCCCCGAAGGCCCGTCCCCCTCCCCGCAAAGGAGCCCCCCTCCCGAGGTGCGGGCGCAGGTGTCAATCGGGGAAGGAGCGGGCGGCCGGGCGCCTGGGCAGCGGGGCTAGGTACTCTAGGGGCGGTGTCGGAGCGCGCCGGGCGAACTCCGGCGGCGGCCGGGGAGTGGGTGCAGTGCCTCGGAAGGCCGGTGGCGGGGGCACGGCGCGTGGCGTCTGCGGGGGCGTGCGCAACAGCGCCAGGACCCAGTCTGGCAGGGTGGGCGCGGGCGCCGGGGGGCGGTCGCGGCGCGGTGTCGGGGCTCGGGGGGTGCGAAAGGCAGGGGGTGGGCTCAGGCGCCCGGGCGAGGGGGGCGGCGGCGGGGCCGGGAGCGGGGTCAGGTACTCCAGGGGCGGCGCCAGCAGCTCCTCGTGCGCCGGGGGCGCGGGGCTTACGGAGGAGGCGGGCGGGGGGATGGAGAAGAGCTCCGTGAAGTTGGGCACCGAGTCGCTGATGAACGTCACGTTCCCATAGACGTGCTGCGGGAAGGGCTTGTCCGTGGATTGGCTCCCTCCGGGGCCCGGGGCCCCGGCTGAGGCGATCTGCGACGTGCGCACGTGGTACGGGAAGTTCTTGTTGGCCGCCGACGGGCGTGTCATGATCTGGGGCGAGAGGCCAGGTGCTGGTTGGAGCAGCACTGTCCGGGCCTCAGGCTGTCTCCATAAACATGGGGTCGTAAGGATTCCCCTTCACTTGACGTCCCCCGCGCTTCCCTACAGTCCTTCACTCCGGATTAGGCGGCCTACCCAGGCTCTCAGCAGTGTGTGTTGAGTTCTGACTTTTTCCTCCGTCACAGCTCTGATGCTTCCTCCGTCAGAGCCCAGATCACTGACTTATCACTGGTTCCGTTTCAGCGGCCTTCACTGTCCGGTATGATACCCACTAGCCATATGGGGGTATTTACATTTAACTTAATCAACATGAAACTAAAGGTTTTGTTTTTAGTCACACTAGTCCCATGGAAGTGCTCAATAGCCACAGGTGGATAGTAGCTATTGAATCGGACAGCACAGAGTATAGGATATTTTCATAAACACAGAAAGGTCAATTGGACCACAACACCTGATAAAACTCTAGAAGGTTAGCTCTGTGAGGGCAGGAATTTGTTCAGTTCCCTGCAGAATCCCCAATACCTTTTGGAACAGTACTTGGTGCATAAGCACTCAATAAATACTGGTTGAATGTAGGAAGTGTGTCCCCAGCTAGTCTAGTAGATCTTGAGGGCAGGGACTGGGTGTGGCAGGACTGGGTGTGACTCGAGCACTGCACGCGGAATCCCAGCACGACCCCTCTAAGGTCCTGGCGACAAGCAGCTGAAAGCAGTGAGCAGCAGAAGGGGGCTGTGCTGAGCTAACTGTGCATTTTTACAAAAGGAACTGGGTGAAGGTGAACTATAGCTAAGAGGTCACTGCATTTTGGGGCTCAGGGCCTGCACCCCACCTCTCACCCCACAGCTTGTTGAGTATGGGACCTGGGGCACATTGCTAAAACTCCCTGAGCCTCACTGGGGAAAAGGGATGGCAGTGCCTAGTTGGAAAAATGAGGAGAGGGTAGAGCTTGGTACATAATGGTTTTTAGCATTTTTCCTGTTTCTGTCCCTTTCTGACTTCCTGCAGAGCTTCAGGAAGGGCTGCCCTGGGAAGGTGAGTCTGTACCTAAGTCAGGCTCTGGGGTAGAAAATGTGGGACCAGGCCATCTGTGACTGAGTACATTCACTACTCAGAGCACACTGTGGACCCCAGGGGTCAGGAGCCTGGGTCCTCACCAATGTCTATGTTCCTGTCTGGCTCCCGCTTAGGGCTGGCTGTGGAAGGATGGGGCGCAAAGGCCCTGCACTGCTACCAGAGGCCATGGAGCTCTGGCGGGTCACCTCCCCTGTTTGGGCCTTGGCTTCCCTCTTCTGTATAGTGGGTACAATGACCATTATCTATGCTGTCCTGGGGCAGCTCTGACACAATTAAACAAGATATATGAACTGTCACCCAGAAGGCCAGATAGGATATAAACCAGGGCAAAGAAGAGGTTTGGTGCTGATCGCCTCCTGCTGTCATTCAGATCTAGGCCCCCTGGAGCTCCAGCCTGACCCTCTCCACCTGCTTCTTCCTGAACAATGGCCTGTGATGGTGTGGCAGATGGCAGAATGTGTTGGTGAAGGGTGGAGTAATGACCAAGGGGTTTGGGAAGGCAGTGGGATACAGAAGGGAAATGTGAGAGTCGGGGGGCACAGGGTCAGGAATGGGGAGGGACCAAGAAAGAGAGCGGAGTTCAGTCAGTAGAGCATGTGACTCTTCATCTCAAGGTCATGAGTTTGATCTTCACATTGACCGTAAAGTTTACTTAAGGAAAAAAAAAAAAAAAAGAGGGTGTGGTTGGTGAAAGAGGCCAGGACACAAGGTGGGAGAGAATAGAAGAGGCTGGCCTCTTGGGGGGACACAGCAGAGTGGCCCGCAGGAAACCAGCAGGCTCCCAGTATGTGTCTGTTGAATGAGTAAAGGATGAAGAGAAGGGAAATGGATGGAGAGCTCAGAACGGAAGGTCCCAGCAGTTCAGGGGTTGGGGAGCCTCACCCACCGTCCGCCCATCAGGCTCCCACCCCCACCTGGATGCCCTTCCTCACCAGGAACACGCCATGGGCATACAAATGGATCCCCAGCTGGATGCCATTGACAATCTTCTCCCGGGCCCACTTGGGGATCCCAAAGTTGGCGATCAGGGCCATGACAGGAACGGCAAAGAACCTGAAGGGGAGATGCTAGGTCAGTAGAGACACTGCCCCTGCCCTCCTCCCTGACCTATGGCCCCAGCCCCCCTGCCACGCGCACACGCAGGGCCCGGGTGCATCCCAAATTGGACAGAAGCCAGTGTGACCTTCAGAAGCCAGAGGTTAAAAGGGGGCTGGAATCCCACTGGGAAATTCTGGAAGGCAAAGACTAGGTTGAATTTAACTCTGTTCCACCCCACCCCAAATCCTGGCACCTGATAGGAAATCAAAAGGTGTTTGCCGAATGCCTTCACATATGCTAATAACAATTATGGACTCAACTGCAAGCCAGACCTGTTTCTAAGCTTCTCACGTATGTAAACTCATCAACTCTCACAATGACTCTATAAGGCATGTACACCTTCCATCCCCATTAAACAGGTGAGAACACTGAGGCAGAGCGAAGTTCATTGATTTGTGTGAGGTCATACAACTTACAAGCTTTAGAACTGGGATCTGAACCCAGGGAGTCAGGCTTAGAATCTGCCCACTGTACGACTGTGTTATGTCAAATGCTAAAAAACTGCAGCTAGCTTTTATTGAATACCTACTACATGCCAGACACAAGGCCCTTCTATATTGCCCTCTGCGTGCTCAAGGTAACTCTTTATGGGTAAGCAACCTGAGGCGCGCTCTATTTGTTTTTGTTTTTTTAGTTGGGGAAATAATTTTCTCCGGGTCACAAAGTGGATAAGTGACAGACTCTAGGACAGCTAGCTGACTTGCAAGCCCATCGGCCTCACCGAAGAGGGTCTGAGAAATGAACACCCATTTCTGGGAAGCCCCGGGAGACAGGGACAGCTTGGGGGCCCAGCACGTCTCACCAGAGGGTGTAGGCAGCAAAGAAGGGCACGTAAAAGGGCTGCTTCTCCGGGAAGTGGCGCAAGGAGACGAGCACAGCATAGCAGAACCACACGTAAGCCGCCACCTGCAGCCCAATGAGCCCATAGCCCGCCGGCGACTCGTACGTGTACAGTACCTGGCCTGGGTCAAAGAACTGCACCCAAGGGAGAGGGTTCGTCACAGCCTTGACCTCCTACCCTCCACACAAGGACCCCAGACCCTAGACCCCACCCCTGGGCGCCCAGGGGGCAGAGGTATTTGCTCAGGACAGAAGCAGCAGGAGAGAACAAAATGGAAACAGAAGCACATAGCGGTAGAGAGAGAGTGAAAAAGAAAGAGAGTACATTTGCTACCAGGGGCCCAACATGGGGCTAACCACTACCATGCATAAGCTTTTCCATTTGCATCGACTCAATGGGGTGGGTCTTATTATCACCCCCACTTCACAGAGAGGGAAACAAAAGGGACAGCTTTTGGCCAAAGTCAAAGCCAAGGTAATATAAAGCCTTAGAGGAGCCCTGGGATAAATAAGTAAGACCCTCCCAATTTTATAGAAGAGGAAACAGGCTTAGAAGAGGTGGGCATCACCCAAGGTCAGCTAGCTGGGAAGCGGGAGAGCCCAAGTGGAATCCAGGTCTGTGTGACTCCTGAACTCTCAGTCATGACATTGAGCATAAATGTGACAGACAGTGAGAGACAGAGGGAGGAGGAAGAAGGCTCCTCAGAGATGGTGAAGAGAGGAGGCATGCACTTAGAGAGACAGATGGGCAGGCAGAAATCGCAGAGTGGGAGAGAGGGAGCCAGCAAGAGTGCGATGTGGCAGAGGGCTGGCAGACAGGTGGAGGAGGTGGCCAAAAGCTTGGGGAGGGGCGGGGAGGCAAGGCTTACCTCGGCTTCGTAAATGAGCAGCACCACGTGGGTGAGAGTGTAGAGGGTCATGTAGACAGACAACTTCACGGAGCCTGAGTGGCTGATGCGGCCCCTGGCAGCAGGCCATGAAGGGAGACAGCAGGGGTGGGGGGCTGTCAGGGAGAAGCGGGAAGCCACCCCCCAGATCCACCCCAGTGTCCTGTTCCCTAGCCCAGCCACACCTCCTCCCAGCACTCCCTCCCGCCCCAGCCTGGGCACCGTGTCACCGTGAATCCCTTCCCCAGAAGGATGAGCATCAGCAGGAAGATGAGGAAGCTGGAGGAGAAGAGCAGCTTGGCTGGGAGAAGGGAGGAGAGGGCGTCTCAGACATAGGGCTCAGAGAGAGCCCAGGCAACCCCCCCCCCCCCCGGCCCACTTCATTCTCACCCAAGATCTTCAGGCTCTCATTGCCAATGCCATCAGTAGCATACTGGCCCCAGTAGATGCAGAAAAACAGGAGGCTCAGGACTGAGGAGAGAATGGGCAGAGGGAGGAAAGGACAGAAAGCAGCTTTGGGGCATCACTGTTCCCTAACATTATGGTCCAGATGGCCAGAACTCCTCCTTCATCCCTGTCAGGATTCTAGACCATTTACTCCCACTTACGTCCTAGGAGACTCTGGCATCCAGGCCCCAGCCTCTCTTCTCCAGGATCCAGATGTCCAGGCCCTCAGCCTCGCCTCCCTCAGACTCAGGATCCAGATCCCCAGCTCCTCCCCCCTCAGACCCAGGGGCCCCTCCTCCCACAGACCCAGAAGCCCAGGTCTCCAGCCCTCTCCTCCCTCAGACGCAGGAGTCCAGGGTCCCAGCCCCCTCCTCCCTCAGACCCAGGAGTCCAGGCCCCCAGCCCCTCTTCTTTCCCTCAGACCCAAGTATCTGGACCCTAGGTCCCTCCCCTGACGGAACTCAAAAGCTGGTATACTCTAAACCTCACCCTCCACTCCTGCTGCAGCCATGAACATTTTATAAGTAGTGTGGAGCAACTGACGACCTTTCAGCAAATCTAAAAGAAAAGCAGGGGAAGGTGGTTCACAGACAGGAAGGGAGATTAGTTCATCTCCCCCAACCCTGCCCCCCCCCATAACTCCTAACCCCACCACCATGTACTGGACTTACATCCAAAGTAACAGGAGAGGAAGAAGATGAGGAGGAAGATGAGGAGGAAAGTCACATCTGTCTCCAGGATCCCTACCAATTTGTAGAAGGAGGAAATGATTCAGTCAAAGCTAGGTGTCCCTCAGCAGTGGGCACCCGACTGTAGACCTCCATAAAGATACCTCCTGGTTTCTGGGTCCCCATATGCTCACCAAACTCATCAGCTGAGAAATGCCGTGTCCAGAAGGACTTGCCGTTGGTGAGGACCATCTCATACTCCAACTGCAGCCCATCTCCCTGTGGGGAGTGTGGAGGCCTAAGGGGGGGGGGGGACCCTGGGCAGGTAGAGGCTCACCAGGAAGGCAAGGAGGAGAAGGCCCAGGTGGCCGGCCTCGTCTCTTACCCCACACTTGCTGAGTGCGATGTACCACCACCTTTCACGCACTGAGCGGAAGCTTCGGCCACTGGAGCAGCTCAGGTAGCGGGTTCCCTCCTCTGACACTACCTGGGCAGGAGCAAGAAGAAGGCTGAAGCCTGTCTGTGTGGCCCTTAGGCCCTTGGCCTTCAGCACCTGCCCGTTCCTCCATACCTGACAGCCTGACCAGGCATACTGGGTGGTGAGGTTGATGACCTGGTTGTTCTCCGGCCTGATCACTGACTCCTTGGCCAGGCAGTCCTGGGCAAAGCAGGGACGCTGTCACTCCCTGGCCGGCCCTGACCTTCTTCCCTCTCCCACGCACCCTCCTCACAGCCTTCACCTTGTCCCCTGCCTTGTACACAGCCGGCCACTGGGATGGGTCGTCGAAATAGAGGAGGATGTTCTGACAGCACTTGGCCTGCAGACCCAGAGATTTTGAAGTTTGGGGGGAGTGGAGTGCAGGGAGCCGGGGTAGCCCTTGCCTTGGGAGGCCAAGGGAATATCCAGCCTCAGCATGCAGGGTGCTCAGGGAAGGCTCACCTCAGGGTATCGGAAACGGAAGTCCAGTCGGCCGTAATCCGAAAGAAAGCAAAATCTTGTCAGGAACACCCAGTCCTGGAAAAGGGGTCCAGTCCTGAATCCTTTGAGAACTCCGGGACTCCATAGACCCCCAACTTTCCTTCCCTACTCTTGGGTACCTGATTTCCCGAGAAGCATAAGGGGGCCAAGTTACCTCCAAAATTCTTGGGATCCCTTTACCTTGGGTCCAGGATTCTTGTCTCAAATGCCCCCCACCCAAGTTTCTTCTCCTCTCCTCAAACACTTCTCCCATTTTCCAAGTGCACTGAGAAAGGCCGAGGGCCAGATGCCCATCCCAGCCACTTTTAGTCCCAAACACCATCTGACTGGCATCCCCGGGGTTATCCACACGACTGCCCCCACGGTGGTCCCAGAGATCATCTCCTACTCGGTGATATTCGAGAGGGCCCTCTCCTGGCCCTGAGCAGGAGTGTGAACCCGAGGTTCTCCACGGCGTGAAAAGTGCTGTCCCTTCAGCACCACCTTGGCGTTCTCCCAACCCCCACCCCAAACTCTGACTCTCCCAACCCGTCCCTCCTCCCCGCCCAGCTCTGACCTCAATGTCCCTCCTACAACCCCCAAGTCTCTTCGCGACCCCACGGCCCCTCTCAGCCTCAACCCTGACCCAGTCCCCCCTATTACCCCCAGCCCCAATCCCACCGCGGCTCTCAGGGACAGCCTGGGAAGGGCGGCAGGGGGCGGGGCGGCACCCTCCTCCTTCCCTTCCCTCCTGTCCCCCGGGGGCCCGGCGGGTGGCAGGGGAGGGCCCAGCGCACTCACCTCCTTGGAGCTGAGGTTGCCCCGCACGTACTTGGCCCGGGCGCGGGGGGGCAGCGGCAGCAGCAGGAGCAACAGAGGCGGCAGCAGGCGGCACAGAGCGGGCGCGCGCGGGGGCTCCATTCCGCCCGCTCCGGGCCCCGGCCCCGGCCCCAGCTCCGCTCCGGCTCCCGCTCCGGCCCGGCGACGGCGGCGAGAGCGCGCGGGCCGGCCAACGCGCGGCCCCGATTAAAGGGGCCGCTGGGCGCCACACTCCCCGCCCCCTTCTCCAGATGGCCCTGCCGGGCGCCTTCCCCAAAGGCATGGGAGAAGACGACCCTTCCCCACGCTCCCTACCCCGCCCCAGCCTCAGTTCTCCCTTCTGGGAGTCTTTCTGATACCTCCTGCTCCCCGCGTCCTACCCTTAACTCACATTCCCCCCAAGCCGTGCCTCCTCCTCCAGACTGCCTTCTCGGGATGACCCCCAACGCACGGACCCCAGCTCTGTCCTGACCTCTCCGCCAGTTTAGTCCCCAAACTGCTCTTTGATTGCTCATTCCCGCCCTCATGACAGCCATCCCCAGCTGTGTCCATCCGAGATCCCAAGGGCTCTGTGAAGTACCCTCAGAGACACGGAGGCTGAGAGGGTGAACCGTTTGTTCTGGGTCACAAAACACGGAGATGGCAGAACCCTGGGCCACAACCACTACACTTCGTTGCCTGACCCTGTCCAGTCACTGCTCACCAGGGTGTGAAACCGGGTTGCTGCGAGGCAGAAGAGGTGGTGTTGTGAGAAGCCCAGAGCAGACTGAAATCAACCCCCTTGGGTTCAAAACCCAGCATTGCCACTTTCTCATTAGACTTCAGCCAAGTCGTGTGATCTCCCAGTTCAATCCCCTACCGGCTGGTACTAACCTTATGGCTTCCCAGTGGGCAATGAGGATCCCTGGAAAGGCTTTACAGAGCAGCGTCCAAGTCCCTCAGTTTCATTTCCCCGACCAGATTCCAACAAACATTTCTAGCTTCATTCCTCCCCCTCCACAGCAAAAAAAAAAAAAAAAGTGCTGCTTCTCAAAATATCATTTTAAAAAACTTCCTAAGCCAAGGGGCCAAGCAGAAAACATAAGTGCACAGAACACGTTCAGGGGAGAGTGTAGGCCCCATGAAAAGGCAGCCTCTGCTACTTGGCTTGAGCCAGCTGTTGCCAGAAGGGATAGCAGGTCTGCGGCCAGATCCTTTTCCTTCTTTTTTCCTTTTCTTTTTTTTTTTTTTTTTTAAGAGAAGCCAAAAATGTGTTAGGCTTTTTTTGTTTCGCTTTTGTTTTAAAGCAAACTGATTTGTAACAGTAGGCAATTAATTCAAAATTTTTAAATGTATCTTGGGCCAAAGTAAAAAGTCTGCAGGGCAGATTCAGGCCTCATCTCCCATTCCTGTCGCGATCTTGCACACACAGTTCCTATGTGCACTGGACCAGGAGCCCATCAAGGGCAGGGCCTGGACATGCCTCACTCTAGGTCCCAGGATATCCTAGGAATATGGACTGAATGAAAATAGTCCCACACCTCCTATTTGCCCTCCTCCAGGCCTTGCACATAGTGTCCCATAAAACAGCGTTTCGAGAATTGCCTGAAATGTTCTTTTCTTCCTCTACTAGTAAGTCCTTACCAATCTTAGAATCTGTAAAGGTCTACATCTGCTCCTTTGTGAGAAACTCCCTCATCACCAGAGAGGAGTCATCACTCCCTCTTTGGACTCCCTCAGCCCCTGCACCTCTCTGTCCCCAAGATGCAACCATTGGGACTGGAACTGTCTGTGCCTGCCACTGGACCGGGAGTCTTCTGGGGACAGCCACAGTAGCACTCACTCTGGGGCCCCAGCATCACCTGAGCTGAGCCCGGCACATAGTTGGCTTCAGGGGGTGGATGCATGGACTGACTGAAGCCCCAAGTTTCCCAGCCTGCTGGCCCTCAAGCCCCAAGAAGGTGACAAGTGATGGTATCTTTCCCTCCATCTCGGGCCCAGAACTCAGAGCAAAGCAAAGCTGCTCCCTTGGGTCAGCCACTCTGAAAATCAAGGGGACCATGAAGAAGGTACTTTATTGAAGTGATCAGGAGTGCAGGTTTCCTGCCCCTCGCCCAGCCTCAGTCCCCTCAGTACAGTCTCATAGGTGGAAAGGACCAGGCCTCTGGGCTCCTCTGGGCCACCACCCAGGAGAGGCTGGGCAGTGCGGCAGGAGGGCTGGGGCTCCAGTCCAGGGCAGAGGTTGCGGGCAACAAGGATGATGGTGGCTGAGGCAGGGGTTGTTGTGGGCCGACCCCCCAGGGCCGGGGAGGGGGAGGTGTGGCTACCAGCCAGATGCTTTTCAGTAGGTCAAAGGCTGTTGGGGGGCCCCAGGCTGCCCCAGATGGCGAAGGCAACAAGGGCAAGGTGGGTGGCCAGGGACCTTTTGGTGGCGCCAGGCTCACCCTGTGCACCATGGAAGTGCTGGGGGTGTGAGGCATGGTGAAAGTGAGCTCCTTTGTCCTCTGCGGCCTCCTCTGCCTCCCCTCCCGTGGGGCCTGCTCCGGGCTGTTGATCCAGGAGGGTGTCATCCTTCGTCTTTCAGGGCCTCCAGGTTTGGTCCCTGGCACAAAGGGAAAAAGCATGGGAGACAGCTGAGCTACAGCAGACAAGGGGAAAGGAACACAGGAAGCAGGAGATGGGCTCACCTGGTAAGGGTGGCCGGCAGTCACGGAGCACCAGGGTAAGGTCTGGCACACAGCCATGGCAGGCCTGTAAGGTGCCCATGATGGCATCCCTGGCCTCTTGCACTAGGTTCCTCCTGGGGAAGGCCTGTGGCAGAATTAGCTGGCACTGCAGCTCTTCCAGCAGCTGCCCCAAGCCCGGGAGCTCTGGGGGACTGGGTGGGCCTGGGCCTGAGCCTCTAGGCACCCGGTTCTCTTTGCCCCTTGACTGGGGAGCTGGGTCTTGGGCCCGGCTTGGGCTTGGGGAGGGTTTGGTGGGGAGTGAAGGGGTGCCTGGCTCCGGGGACCCACTCCTAAGCAGCCGTGCCACATCCAGAGATTTCACCTCATGGTTAAAGAGACCCCGGTGCTCCCGGCTCAGCCGGCCCTGTGTTATGACCACGAGCTTGGAAAGAGTAGGAGCCAAAGGTGGATCCTGACTGGTCACAGGAGGATCCTGACGGGCCAAAGGCCGCCGGCTGCCCATCAGAGCCTCGTTACGCTCCCGCCTGGTCTTCCGACGACGGACACGACCAGGTTTCTCAGGCCGCTGGAAAGGCTGAGGGCCTGGCCTCCAGGGGTCCATAATGTTCTAGAAGAAAGGCAGGACAGTCATCAGCATGCAGATAAGTCAGGGACCTAAAAGTGAATAGTGAGAAGAGAAGATGGTTTGGGGTGAAGTAGAATGACTATTTACAGAGACAAAATGAAAGTAAGGCAGTGGGTAGGGAGTGACTGGCCAAGACTTGGTCAAGGTAGGAGTCATGGGAGTCGGATGGGGTTAAGGGAGTCGCGATGAATGGTAAGATTTGTCAGAGAACAGAGAAAGGGTTAAGGGTACTGGGACATGAGAAAACAGCTAGAAGATGGGGGATGGGGACGGGATCATGAGACCACAGGGTCTGGTGAACTAAAAAGAATTGTGGACAGAGGAGAAATCCAGAAGTAGAGGAGGTACTGGAGAATGCAGAAAGTGCAAAGAGATGGTAGAGAGAGAAAGGCAGAAGAGAAACAGAAAAAAAAAAAAAAAAAGTGAGTCAGAGAAAACCTCGGGAAAGCAGAGAGGGCAACGGAGGAGCTACCAGGAACTGGGGCCTAGTCATGGGAGTGCGGTGGACTAGGGTAGATGAGGCAAGGGTGAGCAGCTGAGGTTAGGAAAGGGGGGTACGGTTGGCGGGGGCGGGGCAAGGGTGGAGCACCTCACCTTCTCCTGACCCAACGAACCCCGTCCCCCACCCACCCCATGTGGCTGTGGGGTGAAATTACTTCTTTTCCACGGTGACCCTAGCTCACGACGCACTGGGACTCTTCCGGGGCTCACGCTGGGCCTCGAACGCATTACACTAAATACGCATGCGCACGACCCCCCCCCCCCCCCCCCACCCTTTGACTTCCTGCTCTCGTGTGGCACGAGGCACAGAGTACCGGTTATAGTCCTTTCCAGCCTTATTTTCAGAGCCCTCTCTCATTTGTCCTTAGGAATCTCCCATACACCAATCGGCTGTGAGGCCCACTGGGCCCGCCCCTTTCCTGAATGCTGATTGGTTTAGACTTTTGTACCGGGGCGGGGGAGAAGTGCGGTGAGGCTAGGCACCCGGGGAAAAATGGCTGTAGCGGTCTCCACTTGCAGCGGGTTGTCAGACAGTTACAGAATTCATCCCTAAAGAATCAGTATAGAGTCGTCACTCAGAGCTAGGATCTGGAGTTAGACTACCTAGGTTCAAACAACCCACACCAGCACATTTGAGTTGTGTGACCTTGGAAAAGTAACTGCTCAGACCCTCAGTTTCCTGTTTTGTAAAATGGAGTTCGTAGTAGTACCTCCTTCATGTGGTTGCTGTAAGCATAAAATGAGCTGATACATCTAACTTGAAACAGCACTTGGTTTGAATGGAATGAATGCCTCGAAGCTGTTTCTCACTAAGCTTTGCTTCAGGAACGGCTTCTCTACCTTTTCAACTTAGCTATCTACACTAGTCCCCTCAGACTTTAAAATCAAGCTATAGGGGCACCTGGGTGGCTCAGTCGTTAAGCCTCCATCTTCGATTCAGGTCACGATCTCATGGTTCGTGAGTTCAAACCTGCACACAGCGGGTTTCAGATCCTTTGTCCTCTCTCTCAAAAAAAAAAAAAAAAACTTAAGAAATAAAATGAAATAAAATAAAGCTATGGCCAGCAGTTTCCCCATGCCCTAATAAGCTACATTATCTATGTAATACTGCTTACCCAGACTTCCTAATTTTTCAAAGCCAAACTCAAACACTACTCCTAAGAACCCCCTCACCCTCAGAGTCCTTCTCTTCCTTCTCCACCTCTTTTTTTTTTAATGTTTTATTTATTTCTAGGAGAGAGAGAGAGAGACAGCATGAGCAGGGGAGGGTCAGAGAGAGAGGGAGTCACAGACTGAAACAGGCTCCAGGCTCTGAGCTGGCAGTCAGCACAGAGCCCGACGCGGGGCTCGAACCCATGAACCGCGAGATCATGACCTAAGCGAAAGTCGGTCGCTTAACCGACTAAGCCACCCAGGCGCCCCTTCTTCTCCACCTCTTTTAATCACAACCTTGATCCTTTCCTCAGCTCTGTGTCTGGATCTGTCTTCTCCAACACCCTGGGACAAGGCAAGGATTTGACCCATTCATTTAATAATCATTCAAGTTCTTGGGAGCAGCCATAGAACTTGGAACTATGAGTCAGGCCCTGTTCCAGGCAAGTGGACTGAGGCAAAACATTAACACGATAAATCAAACTATATTTCAGTATCAACCTACCTAGAAAGAATGAATAGATGGGAAGGTCCCATCTGGAAGTAGAACTAGAGGAATATAACCAGGAAGTTTAGGGGGATGTGGGACCCACGCCAACTGCTTGAGAAGAGGAAGGGTTGGGAAGACTTGAGATTTGAGTTTAATATAGGCCAGGAGGGGCCGACCTTAGGTGGCCTTGGCTATGGATGTAGGTTTCAGAGCTTAGACACACTTGTGGGTTTAGGGAGAGGAACAGAGGCTACAGATCTGCAAGATGAGCTGGGCGGGAGGGGCGCCAGGCTGGACCTGGGCCTTGCAGCATCTCTAATTTCCTTTCTCTTTCTTCACCTTCTTCTGCCCTAATTGCAGGGCCTGCGATGTTTGCAATGCAAAGATATGTAGTTTATAGATTTTATGCCACAAAAACTGGTGGTTTTGAGCAGGGGAAGCCCACGAGCAGATAGGCTCACTAAAGTCCTGGCGCTGTCTTAGGGTGTCTCCTTACAACTGAGGCTCTATTTTTCACATCTTGCTTTTTTTTTCTACCCACATCAATAGAAAATGGGAGCGTCCCCTCCTAGCCAGGTGCATACGAGCCACCCCCTCAAGGGATCCAGGAATGGACTCGTCCACTCATTCCCCTTCCCCCCCCCACCACGTGAATGACACACAGGCGCGCGCGCGCACACACACGCGCACACACACACACACACACACACACACACACACAGCTGGTGATCCCTTCCCCACATTTCTCGCCCTATAATAAGTGGTTTCTTACGCGCGCGCGCGCGCACACACAGCTGGCGATCCTTTCCGCACATCTCTCGCCCTACAGCAAACGGGTTCTTCCCCCAAGGAAAGGCTCTAGGTTTTCCCCGCCCACTCTCGGCCTTTCAGGTAGTTCGCCCCTCGCCCTGACGCCGGTGTGGTGTGTGTGGTTCCTCCCTACGGGTGGGTGCTGGATGGTCTCGCCTCCCCGTTCCCAGGTGCCCGGGGGCGCAGACCGCCGCCGCCCGAGCGTGAGTGGTCCCGGCGGGAAGCTCCGGACGAGCCCACTGCGCGGCCGCCGCGGGGGTAGCACGGGTTCCCAATTCCACCTCCCCTTTTAAGTGAAGGTTTCCGCTCCCGCGGAGGAGGCGGTGCCCGGGATCCGCCGTCGTCCTCGCCGGAGTGCGGGCGTCGGGACCGTCCATTGTTGCCTGGAAGGGAGGGGTGGGCGTGGCGGAGCCACCTCCTCGGCCAACTCTCCCGGGTCGACCTCGCTCGCCCATCCTGCAGGAAGGAGCCGCGGCGCCAAGATGAGCGGAGAAGAGAACCCAGCCAGCAAGCCCACGCCGGTGCAGGACGTGCAGGGCGACGGACGCTGGATGTCCCTGGTGAGCGACCCGGCCCGTGATACGGAGTCCGGGAGGGGCCTCCGGAGAGCAGCTGGTTGGCGCCACACTCTCTGTGGGATTAGGAAACTGAGGGTAGTTGGGGTGGTGGAGGCAGAGCGGAGAAGCAGAGTGGGGCGAGCCAAGCAGCGTGCGTGCCTTTGACTCCCCCCCTTGTACGTCCCCGAAGCACCATCGGTTCGTGGCCGACAGCAAAGATAAGGAACCCGAAGTCGTCTTCATCGGGGACTCTTTGGTCCAGCTAATGCACCAGTGCGAGGTGAGGCCGGTCCCCCGTTCCCCGCCCCACCCAGGCCTGTGCCCTGACTGACACATCTGAATCAGAGCCCAGGCCAGACGGGGTATAAGGTACCCGAAATAGCCTCAGGCAGCACGCACACCCAAACTTCGGTGTAAGATCCAACATTCTACAGAGAAGGAACGGTGTGACCAGTCTTTGTCAGATGGGTTTGTGTGTACTGAGACTTAAATATGAAGCTTTCTTGCAAGAAGATTCCCTAAAGTGAGGTTCTATTGTTTGCTTAAGGTAGTGCACAGCCCTAATGGATGTCCACAAAGCCAGTCTTTCCACTAAGTGAAAGTCAACTGTAATAGCTCTCCACAAAGGGAATCCAATTATGTTACCTTTCCACTAAGAGAGGTCAAACCGTAAGGCTTTCATCAACTGTAAGTGCCGTTAGTTCAATGTGTGACTCAAGCAGAATAGGTTTCCATAAAGTGAGTCTTGCTTCTATGGACCTCCATGAAAGTGAGACTGGAATAGGTTTGCATAAAGCAAGGTTTGACCAGACTGCTTCCATAAGGCAGGGCTCTTCCACGATGACCTTTGTCTTGGACAGAGGGCGGTGGTCCTTGCTGCCAATGCCCTGGTGCCCCCCCCCACTTCTTGTCTGCAGATCTGGCGGGAGCTCTTTTCTCCTCTGCACGCACTTAACTTTGGCATTGGCAGTGACAGTACGCAACATGTGCTTTGGCGACTGGAGAATGGGGAGCTGGAGCACATCCGGCCCAAGGTGAGCAGAGCTGGGATGGGCAGCTATCGCGCCCCAAGCCTCCCTCCTTACCGCCGCTTCATGCCTCTCTTTCCGCAGATTGTGGTGGTCTGGGTGGGTACCAACAACCATGGACACACAGCAGAGCAAGTGACGGGTGGCATCAAGGCCATTGTGCAACTGGTGAACCAACGGCAGCCCCAGGCCCGGGTCGTGGTGCTGGTGAGAGGCTTGGAGGGCGGGGAAGAAAGAATGGGAGGGGTGGCCGCAGCCGGCACAGTTCTGGGCAGCGCGGCGCAGAGCAGTGGGTTCTAAACAAAATCTCTAGGTGAAGCTTGCTACACACCCGGCAGCTATAATTAAGGTGTTCAGGGACCAGTGAGCTCCTGTTGCCCAAGAAATTGCTGAGGATTCGGGGGGGGGGGGGGGGCGTGTTGCAAAACTCAGTTAGCCAAAAATAGGCCTTCCTGGGGTGAATCCAGGTGCCATCACTTCCAGCTGAAACATGTCCTCCTCTGAAAGAGGGACGGACCCTTTGCCATGGTGTCGTATTTTTATGATGGCTACTTGGAAAGGGGATGGCTCCCAGAAGGTAGTCGCTGGCTGGGGTCTCACACATGGTATCAAGAATTACCCTTCTGATCCCCCACTAGTATATTCCACACCTGGGAACTTCCTGGTGAGGGCGAACAGTTTGTCCGAGAGAATAGGATACCCAGATGCTGGTAGGATGTCTCCTCACAACTCTTGGTGGCCTTTCTCAGGGCCTGCTTCCGAGGGGCCAGCACCCTAACCCACTTCGTGAGAAAAACCGGCGAGTGAACGAGCTGGTCCGGGCAGCACTGGCTGGCCACCCACGGGCCCACTTCCTGGATGCCGACCCTGGCTTTGTGCACTCAGACGGCACCATAAGTCACCATGACATGTATGATTACCTGCACCTGAGCCGCCTGGGCTACACACCTGTCTGTCGAGCCCTGCACTCCCTGCTTCTGCGTCTGCTGGCCCAAGAGCAGGGCCAGGGTGTCCCCCGGCCAGAGGCTACACCCTAAGCATCCTCCTGCCCCAACATTAAATTCTCGTTCCTTAGTCTCCCGTTTCTTGCTTTATGGCCAAGCCCTTCTGGGTATCTCAACCTGAACTTGGATCTCTGTGACCCTGCAGCCCTGGAGGGTGCTCTGTTTCTGCCTGAAGCAGGCATCACCGATCCATCAAGGCACTCTGGTTCTCGCAGAGTCTAGCAGATTTTTACTATCAGTAACGCTCCACACAGGCACTACCAATCAGTAACACACTAAGTGAAACCAGCTTGCCAGATCAAGGTTAAACAAGAATTCTGGGAACGTCGTGACCCACCAGTCAAAGCCCATTCAAAACTGCCTTGCCCTTGTTGCCAAAGCTCATCCCCTGGCTGGAGCTTCTGGTGTTCTGGTCATATCTTAGATGCCATTTCCTATGGAAGCTTCCTGACCCTCCCCATCCCAAGCAGTCGTGTCTCCTCCAGGGAAAGTGTCCACACACTGTGAGGGGTGTAACCCAGGAAGCTCCTTTTGGCCTGGGTGCAGTGCTGGCTCTGGCCATGTGGGGGCAGCAGGGGTCACCAAGAACAGCACTGTATCTGGGCAGCTGGGCACCCACCTCCCTGCCCAGCACCACCTAGGTTCAGACCCCTCAGGTGCACTTGGAACTTTAGGGGTGAACTGCCCTTGCAGCATCTCATCTTGGGCCTTCCTGAGCCCCCACAGGTTGGACAGCTGTGAGAGGCAGAGTAGGGACAGTGACTCCCAAGCGCCAGAGCTGAAGAGAGGCTGCTCAGTCCACAGTGAGGGTCCTCGGCCCACAGGGCCCTCCGATGCGGGGAGGGGAAGGTCCCACCACCGCACTGAGGGCAAGTGTATAAGCTCCTTGACCATCTGGGGACAGTACAACCCGCCCCCCCTTCTCCCTTTAGAGTAGACAGCCACACAAGTGTGTTAAACAGCTTTAATTTCGGTCATTTCAGCTTCTCGGCACAGTAAGAAATATTGCACATGATCAACATGTTTTGTTCTGGGGATGGGGATAAGGGTAGGGGGAATCACCTTCTTAGAAAGTACAACCCAAGTTGGGAGGGCAGAGGGGGTGGGGAGAGAACCCTCCCCATGCCTGTGGCAAAGTGCAGGAGCCCCCACCCCAAACTAACCTGAGTCCAGCCCCTCTGGGGAAAAAAGGGGTGCATGAACTCCCCCTACTCCACAGGCACCTCTCCCTGTGGCCCAAGGCCTGCGCTACCCTCCAGCTTGTAGCCCTCACATGAGCCATTTTGCATAAAGTACAAGTGAAAAGGTCTGAAGGTAACACACTCCAGGTTATATACAGGGGCTCCGTGGAGGCAGAATGTGCCCCTGCTTCCCCTCAGCTGCCCCCCGTCACAGGGAGAAAGCTGTGGGGGGACGGGGGATAGACAAGAGGAGCAGGCCTCATTCCGCCCCAAACTAGAAAGGACGAAATGGCTTTATTGGGGAGGAGGTAACCATCCTGCCCCCCCATTCCTGCCACCTATATACTGTCCATGTCCTGAGGGGGTACTGTGGGTCCTGGGATCTTCTCGGGCCCCTCACCTGCCTGTGGCAGCTGTGGAGGGGCCAGGGGGTGGGGGGGAGGTCTGGGGGGGCCCCTCCCAGCCAGGCTGTCCGGGACCCGGCTCTGGGGGTGGAGGCAGTGGCGGGGCAGCCGGAGCTGTGCCAGAGTCCGAGCCAGGTGAGGTGGGGTCAGGGCCCCCAGCGGGGCTGGGAGTGGGGACAGGGGCAGCAGCAGTGCCAGTAGGGGGTGGTCCGGGGAGGGGGGCCTCAGCTCCAGGGGCCTGCTCCGTGGGAGTGGCCGCCTGCATGATCTTCTGGCGCACCTCTCGGATCTTCAACTGCAGACACACCTTGGAGGGGAAGATGTCTGCGTAGCGCGCCTGGAAGGCTGCTGTGGCCTGGGCTGGGGACAGAAGGATGTGCAGGGGTGGGGAGTAGGGAGGGCACAGTGAGATGAGCAGGCAGGGCCTCTCCAGGTGCCCCCTCCCCCCGACTCCAGGCCATACTCACCCGATGGGAAGAAGCCGTGGTCCTGGAAGAGCTGCATGACCAGGGCCCGGCGCTGGTCCAGGGTGCGCCGCAGCGAGGAGTATGGCACCTTCTCGTATTCCAGCTCCCCGAGCACATCCTCGGCTTCCGTACCTGGGAGCGGCACCCAGCGCACAGTTAAGGCTACTGCAGCAGCCTGCCCCCTGCCCCCACCCCCATCTGGATGTCTGTTCAGCCCTCGCTGAATCCCGCAACAGCAGAGTTCAGAGAGGGCACCTGCCTCTGCACCCTACTGGACCCTAACACTCCCCCTCCCATCCTTGACCTCCTGTCCTTCCCCATCACCACGGCGCAGCTCTAACCCCATTCCCAAGACCCCACCCTTCTTAAAGGCCCTGGGTCCCCCACAGCTCCGCCTGCCTCGGTGCCAGCACCTGGACGGTCAAAGGTGAAGATGTCCCCCTCGCACTTGGCACTCTTCGGGGTGTTGGGTTCTGAGCTGCAACTGGAGCGTCTCCTCATCTTGCGCTTGGGCGAGGTGGGGTCCTCGGGAGCCGAGTCCAGGTCTGGTCCAACAGAAGCACACTCAGCGGAGGCAGCCCCGGTCTGCCCCCCACTTAACCCAGGTGCCCCCCACTGGCCTACCGGTGGAGTTCTTCCTTTTCTTGCGGTAGGAGCCCAGGATGGCCCTGGGAGAGGTGGCCAGAGACTGCAAGGTAGGCGAAGGCAGCACCTCCTCAGGCCGGAACTCAGGCAGCTCAGCAAAGCGCTCTTCGAAGTCCACCTCCGACAGGACCCTGCTGGAGAGCCGGCGGGGTCACCTCCCCTGCCCAAGATCACAGCTGCTCCCCCCTCCTGCCCAGCCCACACGCTCTGCCACGGAGCCCAGCCCATGCTCACTTGTCCACAGAGTCAAAGGTCTTCTTCAGGGGCGGGGGCCGCACCTTCACCTTCTTGCCGGTACCAGCTGCCTCCTTGCGCTCGGGGGTGTCCCCAGCTGCCCTCCCACTGCTGCCCTCGCTGCTGCTGCTGCTGCTACCGGGGGCTGGGGCTGGAGCTGGGGCCGGGCTGGGAGGGGTGGGAGGTTCCCCACGGCTCTCCAGGCCTAGCCCAGGGACTCGCCAGTCTGAAGATGAGCTGGGGAATTTGCTGGCCTGGGTTAGGGACGGCAGGGAGATGGGGGACACCGGATTCAGACTCGCTGGGGCAAAACCCAGAACAACAGCTGGATGCTAACCACCCATGATGTACTGCTGTGGAAAAGACCCAGCCATACAGATGAGCAAAAGGGACAGACAAGCTTCCTCCCCAACCCTGAATGCCCCCCAACCCCTGCAAACAAGGACAGAGTTCAGGCAGGTGTGCAGGTAAGAAGGATGCAGCAGAAAAGCTGGACGGAGATGCAGAGCTGTGCGGCAGCAGGAGGCCCCCCGGCTCGCTGCACACTTACCATGGTCTCCGGGCCCTTGGTGCCTGTCCGCTCCTCAGCAGGTGGAGGTGGCGGGGGGCTGCTCCGGGCAGCGGGAGCCCAGGTCTCTGGGGGCGGTGGAGGGGCCGGCGTTGTGGGCTGCCCCTCAAGCTCAGACTCGGGGGCAGGGGGCTCACGGGCTGGGCCAGGCTCCAAAGGCTGCCGGGATGCAGGGCCCGACCGCCCAGAGGCACCTGCCTCAAAGGAACCCACAGGAATGCTGGCGATGGCCGCCTTCACTTTCTGGGGGGCCTTGGGGGTAGGCCGCTGGGCCTTGGGGGCCACTAAACTGTAGGTCATGGAGCCTGTTGGTGGAGAGAAGAGCATTTGCTGAGCCAGGCCCGTCTGGAGGCCACCTTCTGGGTCCTCCAAATCACCCCACCCTGGGTTGGCCTGACACCCACCTGTGGCATTAGGGAAAGGGCTGGTAGGGGCCGGGGTGGCAGTGGCAGGGGCCGGTGGGCCCTTGGGCAGGATGGCGGCAGCAGGTGCGGTGGTGCTAGTAGCCACAGTGTAGACCAGGCCTGGGGGCGCCTGGGACGGCTGGGCCAGGGGTGCTGAGGAGGTGGGTGCGGGGCTGCCAGGGTAAAACGCTGTGATGACGGGACCTCCAGGGGCTGTGCAGGTAGGCGGCAGCTGGGGGCTGGGCACAGGCGACACGCCCACCTGGCCGGGAGCCAGCAGCGGGGCTTGGCCTGCAGAGACGAAAACAGAGGAGAGGCAGGGGCCCCAGTTAGGGCCTGGGCTACCTCGGCACCACCCTGGGTCCCCAGCTCTTCCTGCCAGGCCGCCCCTCACCTGAAAGCAGGGGCTGCACGAAGGCGGGTCCGCTGGGCCCCAGTGAGGTGAAGCCTAGGGCTACCGAGCTCGTGGGCCCATACGAGGTGACTGTTCCAGCCTGGCTGGATGTAGGGCTGGTGCCCAGGGGCAACGCGTGCCCACCCGCCGACTGCACGTAGGTGATTCTGCCGCAAGGAGAGGAAGGGGGAGTGAGGTAAGCTGGCCCCACCCAAGCCCATCTCTGGGCTGGCCTCCGGGTGAGGGCTCAGCTGCCATTACCTGGTGGAGGAGGGCAGCAGGACTTTCTGAGGCTGCGAGGTGGGTCCGGACAGCGTGGCTGGGCTGAGGGGCGGCACCAGGCCGCTGGGTGTGCTCACGGGCACTGGAGTCAGCTGGATGATCTGTGGGCAAGGGCACCCACAGGCTGGGGTGAGCTGGGGACCCAGAATGGGGCCGGGGGGGACCAAGATCTCAGGAAGGTGGACCTCAGCAAAGACAGGGAACACAAAACTCGGAATCGAGACCGAAAGGAACAAAGGAAAAGACATCGAGGGGTACAGAATGCAAAGAAAACACAAGACACAGACACCGAGGGCAGAATTAAGATGTACACAGGTACTGAAGTGAACAGATAAACAGAGTCCTAGAGACAAACTTCCAGAAAGACAACCAAAAAGGGAGAAAAAGAAGAGTGACTGAAGAAAAAGCACACACAGAAACCTCCACCCGGGAGGGGAGGAATGAGGAACAGGCGGAGCCAGGATGCCCTTACCTTGCTGGGTGGCTGGGCACC